CAAAATGTAACAATTTTGCATCGTGCTTTTCGCGTTCTCTTTATATTTTAAAATTTTATATTTTGTTTTTTGATTCATTATTTAATTCAATTGTTTTAAATTCTATAAAACTATATGTATATGTGTTATTAAATAATAAGAGCAGTTTGTAGATTGTCTCTCTATATGCGCCCTTGAAGATAGGAGTAAAATGGAGGGTTGGAATGATACATCAATGTCTCTAGGATGAATCTAGGACCTACGAATCTAGAGACGTATATCTACGGTTTAAATTCGGAAAAAGCCCTGACCTTTTTTTTAACATGTCACTCTGTCCTGGGAAGGGCTTTTCCCTCCGAAGAAAAAGCTTTCTATTAAATTAGGGAACCGAGGATTCTTAAAAACGACTGACGTTTTGGTAAAAAGTGCCGGCGAAAAATTTCAAAAGTAGGACGACGCGAGTTATCTCGCGGCAGATGGCTGACACAAGATCACGAAGAGCTTGCCAATCATTGTCGAAGCCAAATACTCGAATCGCACATTTGTGAGTCTAATATTCCAATTTAGATTCGATGTTCGATAATCTAACAGTTTCGAGAACAATACCGGAATCGCTAAAGATTGAGCTATTTCCGAAATATCCTTGTTTTCGTAATGTCCTCATTGCGACATATGAAGCTGCATTGTTTTCATATATACTGCAGTTTTATAAAATTTATATGTATGTTTATAATACGTTCTATTAATCGCCTCGATCCTCGAAAATTATTTATTTTGTTTTTGGACTCAATTAAATTTATATGCATCATGCAGTTTATTATCGTTCGACGACAATCGATCTTTCGATGTCGATTCGTCATCGATAAAAAACTTAGTTTAAAATCATAGTTTTGAAATCTATTTAACATCTTTGAAAGTCTATTTTATATTTTTATTTTATATATTTTTTTATTATAGAGATTATATTGTCAATTTCTCTCCCTCTCTCTCTCTTTATCTGTGTCTCGGAAAATCACCATTTGCTCATCGAGGACATGATAGGTGCGATGTAAGAGGCCTATAACATTCGAACCTTGGCCGTGCTAATAGACTGACTCGCTCGATAGCATTTGCTTACCGTTATACCGTTATGTATGCTTGATCAGTACCATCTTTTACATTGACGATAACTTCATCTACTTGTAATTTTCAACAAATCTTAATTTATCGCGCAAATAATCTTATTTCTTTGACATCATGTACAGTTTATGATGAGTTGTAGCGAGGATCAATTTATCTGCGTTTTAAAAATCTAAATCTCGATCCAAATTTATTTTTACGCCTATAGATGCAATTATTGGGAAGACACTATTTATATAAATAATGATAAAAAAATGATATAAGTGAAATATTTTGCAAGATAAAAAAATGTCATATATAAAATGAATATTTTATTGTTAATCAATTTCATATGAGACGTTTAACTGAAGTTCACGCAAAGTAAGTTATCGGGGCGCGATATTTCTCGCGATGATGTTCGCCTTACGCATATGTAATAAAAAGCTATCACGTAGTGGGGTTTCGACGACGCATCGTATCTTACTCGAAATGATATTCATCGTAGGGTAAAAAAAAAGTCTCATCGTTTCTGCTCGACGAGAAAATAGAAAACGGGGCGCAGATTCTGTGGTGGTGTCGCATTGCGGCGCACGGGGGGCAAAAGTACCACCCGATGTACCGACCTCGAAATGTGCGACAGACGATGCACTCGAAACTCGAGCGAGGCCATTAGAAAATCGAACTACGAAAATGTAGAACACGCTACCCAGAGATAGAGATAGATAGAGAGAGAGAGAGAAAGAGAGAGAGAGAGAGAGAGAGAGAGAGAGAGAGAAAGAGAGAAGGCCCAAAGAGAGAGCCTGGACAAGTACCATGTGCAAATCAAAGAAGACGGAAACTCGTGGTATAGAGCAAAGAGCCGAAAATGGTGTGAATTATTTCAAGATATCGAAAGTAAGTGCTTGAGAGCCATAAGTATCCTATCAAAGATCTCCAATAAATCATTTATTAACACTAAATAAAGTAGTGATTTTTTTGATAAAAATGTCTGTGGCCGGAGTAAAACACAAAGCATTAGACAATTGTGACACAATTATATGACACTTTTCAATCGTAGTAATGAGAAGTCAATTCATGATAAAATCCTGATAAAGTGCAGTATTCAAAATATCTAAATAAGATTTAGTCCTCAAGAAACTTACTGTGTGTTAATCATTTTTCTCTCCTTAATTTTTTAATAATGAAATGCATAGTTATTTCCCTTAGTCTCCAAATATCTGGTACAATCAGAGAGGAAAATGAACGATATGTGTCCGGGACACCCCGTGTGCAGAGGAGAACTGCCAGTATGGAAAGCCAACGCGTAATTTCAGCGTCTCGTGAGCGATTGTGCCACAAATATTCCGCCACTAAAAATCTGTACTCTTGTTGTCGATCACGTGCCAAGGACGTGGACCATTCTTCTGTCTCTCTGGAGCCGCGTTTTATATATCGCACTTTTTCCTCTATATCCGCATATCCGCCTCGATCTTCTCTCACTATATCATGAGATAAAGACTTTACTCAGTTAAACGTGTGTTTAAACTTATATGTTACCAATGCGAAACAAATATTACATCGCAAATTTTAATGTATTAATACATTATATATTAATACATAAACATTTATAAGTTTTTAAAATTGGAAAAATATAAAAAAATTATAAATCACTACTTGTACTTATGATAATGTTTGTATTCAGCATGCTTTTAACTAGATACATAGTCTTGAATTATTTAAATTAAACTATTTAATTAATATAAAAACACAATTATATAAAAAATATAAACAAGACATATTTAACTCTGCACAATTAATCTGTTTAATCTAATTTAATTTCGGACTAATCTTTTTTTCTTTCTTGAATATTTTTAAATTTATTATCATGCATAGTGGTTTTAGTGATATATCTTTTATTATTAAGATCTATATCGCATATATACATATATACATATATATATATATATATATATATATATATATATATATATATATATATACTCCGTTGCATCTCTGCTCTCAATTCCTGTAAAGAAAGAAGAATCGAATTGTGTACGTTCGGGCGTGGTGCCTTCGCGAAAGACAAGAATGTTACGATCATCGATATTGTTTCACTGCGCTTTCCTTGGATTTCACAAAATTAATTAGAAATCAATTAGAATTCTCTCTCTCTCTCTCTCTCTTTTTCTCTTCGTATCTTTTTAATATTTTATTTTATTATCCTGAATTAATTAAATTAAACAATTTAATAATCAAAAGATAATTATATGAAGAAAATTGACCAGATACATCTAAATCTGCATGTGCACATGTGCGATTAAATTAATTGTTTGATTCAATTTAATTTCGAAATAAGACTCAAGAAATAAAGTGTCTTAACAGACTGTATCTTTTTATTTTTTATTATTAAACGTAAGATCGTTTTATTTTATTTCAATTTAATTTTCAAATTCTCAATTTTCGCAATTACACGTATACAAAAGCATAAAAATCTGCCCTGATATCGCGAAAACACACACATATACATATATACATATACATATACACTTCTTTAATAATTTCAAACCAGAGAAGACTCGACCAAAAATTGTGAAAAATAATAATAAAAAATAATAATAATAACGCAGCATAATACACGAGGAATAATACTCTGCCGCGTGTCTTCGCTAATCTATCACGAGTCATTACATCCTGGTTATCGGCTATCGCAAAGACGACGAAACAGCGATATAATCGCGTATCGTCATACTGGATGCTATAGCGCGCGCAGCGGCACGGCTAGTTGACTGCGGAGACGAGGGTGTGGGTGGTAGGTGGTGATGGCGGCGGCGGCGGCGGCGGCGGCGGCCGCGGGGGAGACGACGGCGGCGGTGGCGGCGGCGGATTACAACGGAGGAGTGTGCGGTGAAAGGCAAAAGGCAGACGGGCGGCAGACACCCTGTGCTTATCCCCATCCCGACCCACCCCGCTCGGTCTGTGACTCACCAAACCGTTAAAGGATGAAGCCGCCCTGCTTTTACTCTACGCGCACCACACAGACGCGCGCAGGTGCACACGTACACCCTCTCGACCGAGGACAGAGAGAAAGAGAGAGACGAAAGGTGCTTTCGAGTGAACGAACGTGAACGCAGCATACGTACACATATGCATGTATGTGTGAGTGCGTGTACATATGTATGAAGGGTGCTAGAAAGCGCAGGGATCATAATTATGAGCAAGGTCTTCTAGGAGCAAACTTTGTCTTCATTAGAATATTGAGGGATTAATGATTCTTTATATTACGAGTGATTGAAGTCGCGTCAATATAGTTTTTGATTGAACAATATTATTATTCAATTTAATTCAAGTAAACTTTATCTCTTTAGAATATTAATTTAAGACATAATTAATTCATAAACATATATTTTTTTAATGTCAAATAATTAAAAAATTCACTAAACGCTGTTATTTTCTATGCATAATTTTCTAAAATGAAAACTCGATATGCGTTATAGAATTGGTCATTAAAATTTAAAAATTTTATTTTACACTATTCGAATGAAGTCTGGCGTGTAATTTCTCTAATATTATCGTAATAGGAAAAGAGACAAGAACAACGGAAAATCTATTTCAATCATTTAGATGCGGTATTTTTATCACGAACACGTCGGAAATTAATAATTACATATATCATGTACATAATTATTTCTTTTCCAAATTTTTTTTCACAAATACTAATTGTTCACGTACAAATTTTAGAGAATATTAATGATTTCTTAACTTATTAAAAATACAAAATTATTATAATTTTCAAAATTCTTAAAACATTCTTAAAACTGTAACAATCAATATCTCGAATTAAAAGACTAAAATAAAATCATATAAGTTATGATTATTTAAATCGAATTCTTCTCGAATTTATCTCTCTTCCTCCTAAATTAAGATACACATTTATTTTGTTCCAGGACACATGTTAAACGACCAGCCATTGCTGGAATTCTCGATGTCGAGCGGTGAACCGGCATTGGAACCCCTGAGAATCAAAAGGGCCACTCTGTGGACGAGAGTTGAGCTCAAGCACGCTCATCACTATCAGCATCATCGTCATAATCAAATCAACCAAAAAAACATCACTCTCTGGGTGTTTAGAGTACATTGCGGTAACACGACGCATCTCCGAGGCAAGGTAATTTACTTTGTAACTTTCATACAAATCTTTGACACAGAGTGTTTAATATCACATTTTTTTTCTTAATTCTTCAATCATAAATTTGACTAATTTTTATCGATTATATTCGTTTTTATATTTTTTATATTAAAAAAGAGAAGCTTAATTTTTCTAACATGTAGTGAAAAATCATTCCCTCTCGGCATTCTTAGAAAAATAAATCTCTCTATCTAAGATGAGTGGTTTAACTTACAGGAGCTTGGTCAACATCTGGAGATGGTAACATCTCTCGTAGTGAACGTCGGCCAGCTCGGCTGGCAGAAATTTGACGTGACGAAGGTCGTCAGCAGATGGTATACGACGAGCTACTCGAAGGATAAGCTGACGTTGCTCGTCGATTGCAGCGGGTGCGGTTCGCACGTCCACGTATGGACCTTCAATAAGTATTCGCCGCACGTGACCGAGTCGTCTTTAAAAGGTAATTCCGAACAATTTCGAAGAATTTGAAAAAAATTAGAAATATATCAGAAATAGAATCAGCAATAGAGATCCTGGAAATCATCTCTATGCGTTGTGCAAATATTTTCTTGCAAGCTAATTGCAAATTTTTATTAAAAATTATTAGTTTATTATTAATAGAAAAATAAAGTTTAATAAAAATATACTTTAATATATGATAAATAATATAAAATTAATTTAATAATTAAAAATTCGGATTTTAACCAGACTTTTTGATGAGTTAATGTGAAACTGTCAGTTTGATCAAAACGTCATCTGAAAATATTATTTTCATCCGATATGACTAATTAATAATTCTACTATTATTTACTATAATTCCTCATCGCTATTACTTTATGTGTGTGGATAGAAATATTCAATAAAATTTGAATAATATTTATAAATCACTTTCAGCCGATCCAGATAAGCCGTTTCTAGTCGTGCGTACGGATCCGGCGGCCGTGAAGCGTGTAAGAAGACGAGCGATCGAATGCAGCGGTGCAATAAAAGGCCAATGTTGCAAGCAACGGTTCTACGTGAGCTTCTCTCAGCTTGGATGGGACGACTGGATCATTGCTCCTCAGGGGTAAATAAGCCGAACAGCAATAAATCGTACAATGATATATCAGCTCTTTCGTCGTGCTACTATAAGAGACAGAATGTTTCCAAAACGCGTATGAGTCAAGCCGTATTTAAATATGAAAAATCTGAAATATTTAAAAAGCTAATGTCACACGCGTATGCATCCATACGCTTTTCCCGTATTAATCATTAATGTATAATTGACAGATATTATGCCAATTACTGCAGAGGAGACTGCGCGGCCGGTCACAGGACGCCAGATACGTTTCTCAATTACTACACCCACGTAATCGAGGAGTATCGAAAAATGGACCGATTGGCCGGCATGCAACCGTGCTGCGCGCCGCTCAAGTTCTCGCCGATGTCGCTCATCTACTATGGTCCAGATTCGAATATCATCAAAAGAGACCTACCGAAGATGGTGGTGGACGAGTGCGGATGTCCTTAGACCAAGCAAGAGCGCGCGACATGAAAAGGACGCTCATAACAAAGTTTATCGTGCCATTTGGCAGTAAAAATAATCGCGGAATTATAACCGCGAGTCCGGACTCGATTCGGCAAATCGATCCAGAAACCGTCCGAATTCTGCGATTAGGTGAGATTCGCTTCGCACTAAAATCGGAAACCGACGAGCGGGAAGTCGAGCGCTGCGCAATAGTCAAAGTACGTAGTGTTCGAGCGAGACTCATGGGAGACACGGTTTTCTGAAAACGATCGCCTTAGGATAGATCGAATTATTCAAAGATAGTCAAAAAGGACTAGGTAATTTTGCTAGATTTACACGCCACGCCGATGCGATTGTATTCCAGATGCAATTCGCGTGAATGGCGATAAAATAAAATTGGCCTTTCTAAGGTTCGAATACGTAGAGTAGATTTTACCAAGTGTAATATGTAAAAAGAGAAAAAAAGAGACGAAACATCTCAGTTTCAAAGTGTTATTTACGATATATATATATATATATATATATATATATATATATATAAAATATATTTATCTATATCCGACTTATTTGTATGCAACAGCGTAAGAGAAAATGGTGACGTACGTGAATAAAAATTCAGAATCGGTATTCTTATCCAAGAGCTTAGTCTTTCTTTATTGATTGCATGATGAGAGAGAGAGAGAGAGAGAGAAAGAGAGAGGGAGAGAAAAAGAGAACAGAAAGAAAACGAGAGAATGAGAGAAAGAAAGAAATTATAATGATTGAAAGATGTGACTTTTACGATTATATATATAATAGATAAACATCTATACACTCGGACACATATATACACACACAACGTGATTCAACCAAAATATATAAATATTCGCGTACGGACGCATTAAGATTTAAGTATAAAAATGAAGTATAAAAGAACTCAATCTCTAATTGCCTTGTTTTTTATGCAAGACTTATGAAAGTATCTCAAGAAAGTAACGGTTAAAAATGCTATTTAAAAAAGTCAAAAATATACATATATATATATATATATATATATATATATATATTATAAATATAATACACACATATGTACGCACGCACTCGCAAACACATATACTTATATACATCTACGTGATAAATTCAGAATGTGGGGTCGGGATTGGAATTTTGAGAACGAGATATTGAGACAAAAAAGTTAGAAAAAAATTATAAAGAAATTATTATTATTATTATCAATTGTTCTTAAGCACAAGGTTGGCCCCAGAGACTATGATTGGTACGTGTTGCGAGTATGCGTATATTTCGAGAATTTTTACGAACGAATACACCGATAATTGTAATTTGATAATTCGCAAAAATATATACAATATATTCGGTTACACACGATTAAACCGAGGCTTATATACTTGTGCATCAGACCTTGTACTGTAAAGAGCAATTTCTTCGCAGTCTCTTTCATTCAAATGAAAAAAAAAAATATATATATATATATAGAAGCTATAACAATTGTATCACCGTTGATATAATAAACTCGTGAAAGTTTATCGGAATACGTGAACCGAAACAGGACACAGCGTGTGTCACTGACCGCGAGATACGTTTCTAACGGCAAATATTAGAAATAATAATAATTGAAAAGTGGAAATTTCGAAAAAGATAAATTTCGAGAGTTTGCAAAGTGATCAAATAATTACGAAATAACGAACAATAATACGACAATAAACAAGAAACGGAGGAAGAAAAAAATCTCAAACACGAGACGACAATTTTTGAGAACGATGTCGCGCATTCTTTTTTCAAAACGGTTCAAATGCATCTCAACGAAATACATCTGCATCGCAATTTGTTCTTCCGAAGCGATGTGTGCGATTAAGAAAAATTGAAAAAAATATAAATGAAATTTTTTTCGTGGGATAGTCATGTTCAACCCACGCAGCCTTACTGGGCCTTATTAAGGTATCGTCGTACTATTACTAAATTATTATCAAAGTAATGATAAAGCATAAGTAATGGTAATCAAATAGAAAGGAGATAAAAATAGGGTACGGAAAAGCGACAAAAGATAGCGAATATCTTGACGAATAAAGAACTAGCAAGAATTGGTGAGTTGTAAAAAACTCATGGCGAAGAAGGGAAAGATGCGAGAATGCAATCCGCTAATACAAAAGGGTTTGAAAGTAGAAAATTAGAATCGCGAGTTGCCGAATTGTCCGTTTTCTCGGTGCGATTTCGACTGATCTTTTTTTTTAAATTGCTGAAGTACAAGTGGAGTATGCAACAGTGCATGCATATGTGTGATAAGAGATGGATGAAAAAGCGAATGATAGAAAGAAATAAAAAAAGAGAGAAAAAAAGAGAAAAAAAGAGAGAAAGAGAGAGAATAAGAGAGCGCGAAAGGGAAAAAATTATAAATACAACTAGACATTCCGTCATTCAGCTAGAGAAAGGAAAAACTAATTGCGTCCACAATACAGTTTACGAATGACTTTAAGCAAACGTATTTCTAGCACTATTAAGAAATATTTCTTCGAATTCCTCTACTTCTTCATCTTCTACTATATATATATAACTACTATTACTTCTTTTTTCTACTTATTTCCTTAAAAAGGAGAAGCTCTATAAATGCGTACAAGTCTCGATAAAGAAAAAAGCCTTTAACAAGCTCAAGGAGTGTGTTTACGACTACTGTACCGATTTTAATGTATAAAAATGAAAAAATAATAATAGCGATGAGTGATGATGATAAAACATAATAAAGACAACAATAATAATATTAATATAATAACAGTAATAATAATATTAATAATAATAATGATGGTAATATTAATAATAATTAATAATGGCAACAACAATGATAATAATAATAACAATAATATTAATATTATTAATGATTATAAAACGGTAATATATAATATATTACTACAAAATATTACCACTAATAATAACAATAACAACAGCAACAATAATAACAGTACTAATAATATGATACTTATTAATAAGTAATAATTAATGCATAACAATTAAAAATAATAATAAAATAAGAACAATAATATATAATGAAACTTATAACAATAACACACACAGTAATAATAATAATCATAATATAGTACCGATATATAATAATATTAAAGATATTAATAATATTCATAATAATAATACATTCTAATGAAACAAAAGATAATATAATAATAATAATAATAATATTATTAAGAAAGACGCAAACGGAGCGCAGGCATCAAGGCTGAGCCGACGAAAGTCTACCCTCCTTAATTTAAAAACGTATTCCAAAGGAAGTGAGAGGTATTCGACGCTTTGAGTCACTTCGTGATTATTTGAAACGTTAATTCTCGTCGATCGATCCGATGGGCGACAATATGTCACCTTCTCGGCACTGTGTATAAATTTAAACAGGAGAAAGAGCAAGAAAAAAGAAGAAAAAAAAAGCAAATTCATAATTCCCCCTCTCGTATTATCGTTCCTGATTCTATATAGATCGCTTACATGTTACTTATGCGAGAATAATAAACGAAAAGTCACTATCTCTCAGTATATTCGAGTAGATTAACTAACTAATTAATTAACTTAAAAAATGGAAAAATGGAAAAAAACGTCTTTTTTATCTCTCTCTTCCAGTAATTATCCGCTAATTTGGAAGGTGCGATGGTCGCCGCTCTGGATGCGTGCGACGCGCCGCGGAAAACACACACGACGCGATTGATACTCTATTGCACTGACTTCCGCGGGAAGGGAAATTTTGAAGTTTTGAGCTTCGAGAAGATGCGAGCAATTTCTTGCAGCTGCGTCCACTTTTGACGAACGAAAATTTGAGAAATATCGCGCGAATAATCGATCGATCGAATAGTCTTCGCCATCGATTCCGGAAAAACCGATCTAGGATTAGAAGAGACGTTTCGAATGACAGGCCCCTTCGCAAATCTAATCGCGCTCAAATGACGTAGAGAAAAATGTTTTACAAGTGTTTGCGAGGAAAGATAGCAATTTAGCGCATTTTCGCGAATATTAATAAATTCGATGCAAAGTGCCCTTGCACTTAAATGCCTTTTTTAGCGAATTCTCGTCTCGGAGCTTGCGCGCGTCGAGTCGTGCATTTTGCGTTTAGCGAGTAGTAATAGAGCGAATTTCGAAAAGTATTGATATTTAATAGCGCGTTTTCTAGAATACACGCATAAAATGTTCATCTAACGATACAATTTTGTAGTGCAGGTGAAAGTGCCTTATAACGGTCCTCCACGAACGCGAAGCAAATTCGTTAAGCGAATTTCCTCCGGCCGCCGACCAAACGAGCGAACTGTTTTGCGAGGGGGATCGTTCGGAGCCAACATAAGGTCTGTCTGCGGTTAACGCAATAGAATAACACGATCACACGTCTAAACGGTTTCCGAAGTCGATTGGAAAAGAGAAACAAAATTCGCGCGATGGTTAAAAGCGATACAGGACGAGATGCAAAAATAGATGGAAAACTACTATGTATGCATGTATGTATGTGTGTTCTGTGTGCGTGAAAAATAGAGAAAGGTAAATAGTAAAGGAATCGAAGGGAAAGAAGAGAGAATGCGAAAAAAGTTTATTATGTCCTGCAATATGAATCCAAAATGCGATTTAAAAAATTCTAGACTGTAATATAATATACAATTTAATATATATAATTTTACAAGATATGATAATTTAAAACGAATCTTGCAACACACACGCATAAATTTTAGAAATTATTTAAAATTTGAAAAATAATGCAATAGTATAGTAATTAAAAAGCAAATTGCTCTATTTGAGTAAAATTGATATGAGTAAGACTGTGGAACCAAATTTCAAGAGTAAATGAGAATAAGAGTCATAAAAAAATTTTGTTGGAAAAATTTCCGCATTCGACAACAATAAAGCAATTTTATTTTCCAGGGTGTGAAAAATTTAACAAAATTATATTTAATAAATAAATAATTGCAGGCTGTGTGTGTGTGATAAGATGATCTACGAACCGAATACACGAAATACGTAATTGTACATAACTTAAGTTTATGAGAAAAAGAGAGATAATGTAAGGGGAGGTAGAGTGAGTGCGAGAAAGGAAACGAAAGAGGAAGCGGAATATAGTAACGAATATCCCGACAGAGTTATACGTCGCGAAAGTGAGTGATACCAAAAGAAAAATCATGTTCTCTCATCTTCTCGAGTTCTTAGTTTCGGCACGACGTCAGCCGAAAAAAAAGAAAAAAAAAGAGGGAAACAAAAATGTGTGTCGGTGATTTTTTCGCGTCCGGGCGAAGATTCCTTCTTTCTTCCCGTCGCATTTACTGCAGGGTCAATGCGTCCGTTGCGAGATATTAATTATATATTTCAAAGATGGATGCAATTCCGAAATAAAAACCCCTTAAATATGTCAAATGTGTGGTCACAAGTTAATTTCTTTTTAAAAGGAAATATATTTCCCGAATCCTTTCACATATTATCCTTATTTTCAATTACATTTCGCAATCCGATTTCCTTCTTATTTTGTGCTAATTAAAGATTAAGAGATAATTCCATTATATATATTGCATATACTTCTTTTTCTGTTCTCTTTATATTTTTAAAAATCAATTTAACATAAGAAAGAGAATGTATTTAATTTCTATCATTTTTACAACTGTTGAACTTTTAAAACTTGCATATTGTTGTTTGAAAATATTGTTTAAATTTTTATTCGGTAAATATGTTATGTTTGAATAAGTTAAAGATTTGAATTTAATCGAAAAGATTAAATCTCTCGCTACAATAATGATTCTACATATGAGAAATAGAGAGAAAAATCAGATAAACACTCAGATGAAAATCATTGACATTTTCAGATTAAGATTTTCGTGACTTTACCTAAAATTTCAAGAATTAAATATATTTGCGAGATATTTTGCATCTTCAGAAAATTTGAAACATATGTGAAAATATGGATATATGTGTTTTTACATTCCGTATAAAATTAAAAGAATTCTTTTCATGTTCATTCCTTTTTACAGAGCAAATAAATCTCATCTTACAAACACATTTTCTCCACTTATAGAATATGTAGAATACATAAGATATGTACAATGCTCTCTATACTGCAGTCTCGCATGTAACAAGTTTCTCTGTACAGATTCCTCATACTCCTTCCTTGACATATTAATGTTATTAGAAGAAAAATCTTTAGTGTGCTCTCAACGATTTTTCGAGCCAGGGAGGTTGAACTTTTTTCTCTTAGCGTACGTCTTCGATGTCAGAGCCGGTAAGACACAGCCCTTCGATTCAGGAATCAGAAGACCTTTGTGCTCTAACCGTCGAATATACGTGGTGTTCGGTATTACGGAGATCGGTCCAAAATAACGTAATTCACGCGACCGATTTATTTGCGGTCGATCAGCTCGGTCTCCTCGCGAATTCTCGTTCTCCGCAGCTTTCAGCTTCATATTGTTATTCGTTGCTCTCCTCTCTTTGATTAACGTCATCTGCCATCTAGAAATGATTTAATAAACATTTGTAATATTATAAAAAGTGAGATAAGATAAGGAGAAATCTGTATAAAAATAAATCATAATTTTACCATTTTTTGTATTTTCAAATTTTCATTATTATAGATCTTTTGCAATATACTTAATATACATTTATACACATATATTATTTCAACGAAACGTGCAGCAGTTATTCTTACGAAAATTTAATATTTTTTTTATTTGATTTAAAAACTAATTTATCATCAAGTTAAATGAATTAATTAATTTGGACCAACCGTCCGGTGCTGCTACGACAGATTCTGGAAGACGTTTCCATTTTCCTAACCACGAGCGGATTCATTGCGGAATCTTTCGCGACGAGTCGCTGCAGCTCGTCAAGGAATCTGTCGGCGAAACCGTCCTGCGAGAAAAACGAATGCTGCAGCAACGAGAAGCACTTTGGCCTGGTATCAGGATCCATACGTAGACATTGTGCCAAGAAATCGATCGTTACTGGACTCCACGTAGGAAAGAGACTTCGAAGAGCCACAGTCGCGGATCGTGGTAAGCCCGAGACCTCATCGGGTTTTGCACGCCGAAGTAGGAATGATACATGACTACTGCTGTTCGTTGGCTGCTTCCCGTAAAGAGGACCTGTTCTCGACAGTACGTCGCCAGAATGACGATACGAGATTTAATAGCGTGAAATAACTAAGGAAGTTCGAATCTATTACGAAAACACCAAATTGACAATGAAAACGTTTATAGAGGTACTACATCTTTCAAAAATTATTTTTATTATCGAAATTGTAAATACCAAGATCAGTGTCGTCGTAAAATTATCTACGATATCGTTTATAAAATTCTTATAAAATAATATACGAAGCAAGCATTTTTTATATATTTTTATCGAAATTATATTAAAATTTAAAATATTCTCGTTTTAAAATCTTTAACAATCTTCTTATCAGTTCTTCGATTAAACGATAAAATTTTTTTATTGATCATGCATTCTTCATCCTCGACTTACCAAAGACTTTCGTGATGCGGTACAACTGATCGACGTCGCTATCGCCGGGAAAGAGCGGCTGGCCGGTGATCATCTCAGCAAAGATGCAGCCGGCTGCCCAGACGTCGATCTCTCTACCGTATCTGGTATCGCCGACAAGGAGTTCTGGCGCGCGATACCACCTCGTTGCCACGTAATCGGTGCAAGATTCATTAGGTCCAGTGATGTAGCGCGCGAAGCCAAAGTCGCAAAGTTTGATCACGCCGTTCGGTGACACCAACACGTTCTCAGGCTTTACATCGCGATGCATGATCTATCGAAAGGAGAAATATCCTTAATCCTTATCAGAGAAAAGTCATTCGAATAGTATAAAAAACATATTAAACAGAGAAATCGGTACAATATTAATGGATCTGAATCTTAACGCTATGAGTACGAAAGAAAAATGTCCGAAAAAATCTTTAAATTGATTAGCAAAAAGCTAAAAAGAAAAAGAAATTGTTTAAATTTAATTATATATGCGAGCGATTAATTGCATATTTTATAGAATCTTTAATTAGAGTACGAATAATGTTTTCCATGTATTTTATAGCTCTTTGCCGAGTTCGACCAAATGCAGCAACCACTGCGTTTGTTCGTTACAATGCTATCATTCATTAAGTATCCAACCATTGCGTGTTGCTGTACATGCGCTGCTTATTGCAACTTGGAATTTAAGCGTCACGGCCGTGAACTTTATCGTAACGGAGGTACACTTATTGCCAAAGGTTGCCGGTAAACGAAAATATACAGTGCATTCCGTATCTTTATAAATACACAAATTATTCGATATGATGCGACAGTATTATTTTTATTTTGTTGAAAAAAAGTGTCTAACAAGATTTATTTTACGTAATTCAAAAAGAATTAAATTGTAGACAATAATGTTGTCATGATAAATTGTTACATATACACGTAAAGATTACATAAAGTATTTTATTGTGCGCGTTTTACGTTTTTAAAGCGCAATATGATGCAACATATATAAATAAATCGCTACTCTATTAAATCTAAGATTAAATTAATATTATGTTATAACAGCAGTTTTTTCACACAACCCATTTTATGTATCTAAGAAAGCTTAAATTATACATAACGATATATTATAAGATGTGCAAGTAAGTAATATAATTAAAATCATTGAATTATGAAAATACATTCTCTTTTATATATAATATAACAAAATATAATTTGACTGAGTTTTCACAGAATTGCTCACTTTGTGATTGTGACAAAAATCCAAACCGCGAAGTATTTGAAAAATATGTCGTCTCGATCTTTCCCAGTCAAGACCACCCCCAGCATTCTCCAATTCATCGAGCACATTATGATCGAGATATTCGAAAACGAGGTAAAGCCGTTTCTTACGACGGAAGACCTCGATCATGCTCACAAGATTCTCGTGATGTAATTTCTGTAGAAGGATATATATATATACATCGATTTAATATAAAACATCATCTTAAGGCATGAAGCGCAATTATAAAGTAAAATTAATAAATAGAGAAAGCTACATTTATATATACATATATTAAAATTGAATTTATGAAGAATTCAATTTATGGTTATCTGTGCTTATTCAATTATCAAATTGTGAATGAAAACGCATTTTATTTTGTTAATTATATAATAATTAATAATATAATAATTAATAACTATATAATTATAGTTAATTATATAATAATTAATAATAAATTAATATAATAATTCTAATCAATCTGATCAATTCTAATCACTCCAATACCTACCTTTAATATCGTAATTTCACGAAATGCTATTTTTCGCACTTGCACGTCCTCTTCCGTCTCCAAGAACTTTTTTATAGCTACTATTTGTCCAGTTGCACGATGCTTGCACTTCATTACGAGTCCATAACTGCCCTCGCCTACTATCTCAATATTTTCATATTTCTCCATTTCATATAATTTTCCGATATGTGTGACGTTTTTTTTATTAGCGAAAAATTGGAGATTTGTTCACTCGAATTTATGTACTAAATAATATATGTGAAACATGAAGTTAAATCAATCATTTAATTATGACGTAATTTAAATAATTCCAAATTAAATTAATATTTTTATATTATTTATTTATTTTTATATTTTTAAATTAATATTTTTAATATCATTATTTTTCTCACCTTCTAGATAACGGCATTAAGTTCATATTCATTAATATTAATATTGCATATACACTATCATGATATTAACTGATGACTTTAAACAATTTTCCATCCAAAGTCCATCATTTAATTATTGTCTTATGAGAGGAAAATGACATGGTTTGTGTATAAACTAAAAATACTAAAATAAATAAATGCGTCGGTTTTGTATGTATGTTTGATGTAAAGAGCGAGACAATCGCAACTATAGACGCTGACTCGTTCGCTGACGAGCCTCGACTGCCTCGAAGAACCTCGTGCACGACCCTCATCGATAATTATCGATCTGCAGGTAATTAGTCAGGGGTGGTCTTTGCTCGATAGGGTATAGGTACATTGACTGAAAAGAAGAGTCAAACCTTAAAAGAAGGGAGGGAGCTCTTTTTTACAGACTCAACAATATATTTTTTAAATTTCGATACGATTCTATGAAACAGAAAGGAAGAGAGAGAAAGTTAAAATTTGATTAAGTATTAAAATTCTATAAATAAAGAAGAGGAAGGGTATATGCATGTGCACATCATATCCATCCCGATTTATATTAGAAAATATTTATATAAAATTTGAATTGAATGCAGACACATGCGCATACACCCACAATATGTATCAAATTTCTGAATTCTTCAATTAATAAGTATCTAGTCTAAATATAACGTACGAGATTCTGCAAGCAGCTAGAGAGCGAAAATTCAATATGCTATTCTGGATTACTACAAGAGCGAAAACTTGACATAAAATATGCGAAAGAATGAAATTATTGAAACGTGTGCAAGCAAAAATTTCGGAAAATGGGTTATTTTAACGTAATTTTATCGATAGTAACTCGAGTGTTCAAACAAATGCAACTTCCCCTCTATCGTGTCAAAGACGATTCGTCATGACGATTTATTGCCGTAACTTGCTGAGTATAATCGATACACACGAATAGTACAATTGGAGCTTATTTATAGATGAGTTCGGTGACTCTCTCCTTGATATCGTGATAGCAAATATAGTCGATTGTCCTTAAATCGACACACATACATTAACACGACTTCAATATTACATAATAAAAATATCGTTACATAATATCAATGCATATAATGCATCATAGCACATTCATTATTTACCAAGACTTTTTTTGACGAACAGTAATAGTATTCTATTATAATAATATGGATAAAAATCTTAATCATTTGTGATAGTGTTAGTAATAAAATATATTCTTATTAGATATTTCTTATAATTTCTAATAATTTGATAATTTATTTCTAATATTTATATTATATATATGATATAATAATATCTACATACAACTTATTTATATATATATATATATATATATATTATTTTAATATCTTCATGAAAGATAATAATGAGAACTGTAGAATGAAATAATAAAAATATAATAATAACAGCATCTTGTAAAGTTGTACAAAAGAAGAAGTAAAATCGTTTTAACTAAAATCCTTTTTTCAACAATAATAATAACGATATATCGAAAAAGATGCAGAAATATCTGGATATCGAGGAATAATCGATGCATCCAGAAATATTCGATAGGCACTGGGCGTAGGCGAGCGCGTCTGTCAAGCTCACGTGGGCCACGATCATGAGAAGCTTCGCGGGGCGGATTTATCAAGAATGGCAAGAAGGAGCCGCTTTAAGTCGGGATCCATTCGGAGGCGTCGTGTCGGACGAGAGCAAGCACGGAAATAGAAGCAACACATGGCGGGGCTCTCTCCCCGACTCTCTCTCTCTCTCTCCCTCTCCCGATGTATACGTCCGTTCGCTTTTACATGTTGGTCCAACGCCGGATCGTCTCTTCGGTGGCATTAGTGCGTTAATATGATGCGCGGCAGGCACGTCGTACTCGAGCAACGAGCACACTCGTCGCGATCGAGGCCCGTTCCGAGCTCCGCGGCCTCAGCTGAGCGGGATCGCGTGAAAATCGCATGAGTTTCAGTCTTAATCTCGAACAGAGTAAGTTTGACGCGTGTGATCGCATGAGGAACGGGTGCGGATCATATATGTAGCTCGCAATTTAATGCTTTCGCGACCGATAACACTATACGTTTAGACGTAGTATTATACGTTTTTCTATTTTTATAAATTCTTCAGAATTGTTATAGTAATACGTCATAGTAATGCGTCTTTTCGCGAGTCAAAACTGATTAGTACATGAGTCGTTTTATTATATTATACGATCGATGAATCAAACCTTCAACAGAGGAAGATAATTTATTAAAATTTTAAACATATTATTTTTTAATAACGAATTAGTGACGAGATTTGCTAAAAATCGAGTAGATGTACCTGACGAATATATAGACTCAAGAACATTTCACAGTGAACATTCACGAGTGAGGAATTAAAACAATATCCCGCGAAAAATATCGAGTTAAAAATACTACGTCGAAAAATCCGAGGAAGCGATCGGTCGCTTCCATGATATATGTGTACAAGAATACACATCTCGGTAACATATGAGAAAACAAAATGGATTCAACATGCGCGATGTGCGTGTATGCGTGAGAACGCGTAAAAGCGTCGCCTGCAAACATTAAGTACTCGTTTTGAAGAGTCCAGTCCAGTCGAAAGTGCTCGGATGCATTCAATGTGTCTCCAAGAAAATGCAGTTTCGCGATGTACTGTCAGCTTGAGAGAATGTCTGAGGAGTGACAGTGGGAAGCGTGATGAAATCAGTGAAATTCCAGACGATTCTAGATAATAGAAACGACGATTTTCTTTCAATATGTATTCAAAATTGCAGTGACAAAATCGATATTTTTATTCGTTAAATCATCGAGGATCCTTGGTTTTAAATAATGACTCTGATTCTATCATATAAACAGTTGTGTTTTATAAAGTTTCAATGATTTCAAAATTGAAAGTCACCTGTATTGATCATCGAAATTAACTATCGTATAATTGCTAGAAATCCAAAGAAAATTATATTGAGAAATTATATTGAGAAATTATTAAAAAAACGAGAAAGGAGGATAATAATCAATAATTTTATGACAACCGATGATTCAACAAGTTTTCTCGAAAGAAATGAGAAGATAATCGAATGAGAGTATTAAAGAACGTCGCGTTCGGATCTAAAGACACAGAGATGATAAACAATCATCGGGGATCTATCAATCAGAAAATTATTACGTTGATCCGAGACCGGAACCGATAAACTTGCAGGCCGATTAGATAAAAAATATGGCAGCTTGCCATCCGACACCTGCCATGCAACGCATGCAGGACTCGACTCGGATCAGTTACGGTACGAGTGCTCCAAATCAGAAGACCCTTCAGCAGTCGACCTATCCGCCGCACTTGCTCAATTGGGTCTATCTGGCCATCGCCGAGCAAAATCCATCGCAACCACCCGATCAGGTAGTCTTCCGTGAATCATTCGTGGAGAACAGGATTTATTTCGATTTTATCTCTTTTTGTCTTCGCAAAAAATTTATTTGCAAGCCATATTAAATCTGTAAAAAAATGGAAATTATGGAAAGTTCCTTTTAAATTCTACTGAAAAGCATAAGAAAGAAACTTAGAAGAAGTCTTAGTCGACGCCTTTGTTTATTAATTTATTATTAATAAATCAAAGGAACGGATGATTTGTTTATATTTTAGAGCAAGCTACTTCCTACAATCTGGAACAATTTTCCTGGCGCGTCGCAGACTTATTTGCATCAAGGCTCACTGAATCCGTCCGGATCCATCAGACCAATGAGAGGCAGTGTGGCGGAGAATATTGCGGATTTGGCGGAACACTTTACGGATTTAAGCTTAAACGATAGGAAACCGACCAAGCGGCCGCCGTCAACATATCTGTGTCACTTGTGTTTCAAGAAAGGTCATTACATCAAGGATTGTCCGCAGGTTAGTACTTTTGGCAATGAAATTGCAACATCCTGCTTCTCTTAATAATAATGTGATTTCATAGATTTTTCAATTCGCTTTATATCTATTACTCATATTATATTTTTAAAAATAAATATATTAATTATTTTTTGCCTACATCGTAATTTATAATTATTTACAAATAAAAGATCATAGGAAAGTAAATAATTTAAAGCTTGATAGCATAAAGATAGATTGTAATCGCAGATTGAAGCTTGAAAATTTCTCTGAGAATCGAATAGTTAGCTCTTTATTATCCTCTGATTCGATTCTAGTTTCAATGTGCAATGTGCAATTACAATTTATTGTCTGATTATGAAAAATCGACATATGTTATCTCATAAAAGCATGCGACACAAGATAATGTTTTAAATACATTTCCAGATAAACAAGCGTGAGTAATCGTGTTGATTAATCATATTGTTGTCATATTGATTAATATGATTAATCATTTCATTGCTAACCATTGTATTATTATCAACAATTGTTGGTAATATGACACCAATTTAAAAAAACAAGTGATTATTTAGGTGTCGTTTAAATTTTATTGATTTATTAATTTTTAGTAATATAAGAGATGATTAATTATCAATATAGCAATGAATGTATAAAATGCTCTAGTATAAAAAATAAAGTAATCAAACAAGAATAGTGAACTTTTTGTTTCTCGAGCAGCGGTTCAAAAATTCGAAACTTCGAAATATTATCATTATATAAATTTTACTTTATTTAACAAGATGTTTTGTGGAAAACTTTTTGAAATCTTTCAGCGTACAATTAAAGTATTTAAATATATACACAAAACACATATATAAATAAAATAATAATTTTTATAATATATAATATACACACATTTTAATATACTAATATATAATAATAATAATAAACAATTTGTATATTTCGAATATTAAATATTCGCGAAATAACGTTTAAATATAATTCCAATTATGTCGCCAACTTTCATTATGCAAATCTATTGACAAGGTCATTCTGTCACAGAATTAGTGAACAATATTAATATCTATATAGAACTTTCCTTTCCCTTTCAAAATGATTCATTGTCGAAAATAAATCTCCATGGACATAAAATCGTTGTAAAGAGCCATCAGTAAATTTAGCGGTACTCGTAAACGACGCGCGTGCCTTGATGCGACAACAGTGCGATACTCGTAGCTCAATTGAGCGTTAATTGACATAGCAAACAGCATCTCTGGGACACATGACGTCACACAGTCAATCATCGCGACATGCTCGATGAGGGTGTACCAATTAAGCCGCTTCTCCCGCTTCTGAGGTGACATTTTTCACGTGATTATTATTCAATGAATAGGGAACAAGGAGAGGATATTTTAACAATGATATTCAATCGAAAAATAATTTATAACTTTCTCATTAATTAATGTGGAATGAACATTTATCAAACGTTTCACAAATATTTCTCAAAGAAAAAAAGATTTAAAAGGAATTATATCTTTCTGAAAGCTGTATATATACATGTCGCTGAAATAGGTTCTCGAAAAAGTTCCCTTTTGATTGTTATTTATTAATATTACTCCACATTGGAACATCGCTAGATGCGCATTACCTTCGAGTCTCGCTGCAAAAACTGCATACACCGATTTGCGAAAAGGAGACAAATCGATCGGCGACTCCGCGAGGAATTTTTGACGATCGATTTAATCTCATCATAGCCAAATTATATTTGGCGATTAGGAAATCTCTCACTGAATCTCTTTTAATTCCCGCAGGCGCGACCGAAAGGCGAGGGTCTGACGCCGTATCAGGGCAAGAAACGATGTTTCGGCGAATACAAGTGCCCGAAATGCAAGCGCAAGTGGATGTCGGGCAACAGCTGGGCCAATATGGGCCAAGAATGCATTAAGTGTCACATCAACGTATATCCGCATAAGCAGGTGAGCGAGGAGAAGATCGGTCTCTTCAAACACGCGATTCTCTTGATTAGGATAAAATTAAATCGAGACGTCCACCGAAATCCCTTCTATGGTCGAACTTGATGAAAGATTCTTGGAACCGTGTTCCGCTCTCTCGAGATATTACGCGACCGAGGGAACGAGATCTCGCGTAAACCAGCGGGAAAGCTAATTATAGTCGCATAATCGCGCTCGCTCACTCTTGCCGCCCGGTGCGCAGAAATATCCGGTCGCGCGTAAGTCACCGGTAATCGTTACGAATTTCGTGAAAGACGTTCATAAATTTCTATTATAATTGAGCGTTAGCTACATCGCGAGCGAATGCTTTAGACGTGACCGATATAATCCGAGAATCGCTGTACAGTTATTAAGGATCTCCATGATTTACATATATATTTTTTGTATAATAAAATCATACAACAAATTATTAATCTAATTAACAACGTTGAAATTAATAAATAATGTTATATAATAATATTAAAAAACACAATATATGGATAATATAAATAATATTAATAGAACATGTATATATCTTTGTTTCTCTTCCTCTCTCACTTGCTGTCTCTCTCTCTCTCATAAAATGAGGAAATATTCTTACTTCTCTAAGAACGCGATTCGCTATTCTCGTCAAACACTCGTAGAATGTGGGCAATAAGATCGCTCGTATTATTTTCAGAGGCCGTTGGAAAAACCCGATGGTCTGGACGTGTCCGATCAAAGCAAGGTCCATCCTCAGCACCTCTGCGAGAAGTGTAAAACGTTGGGTTATTATTGCAGGCGCAGCGCAATAATAACCTAATGACAATCGAATTCCGTCCAATTTATTAATCGCTTAATCGAACTAAGGAAGAGAGAAAATGTTCTATCGAGATGAATTAAAAAAAAAAAAGACAAATCTGAAAAATCCATCATGTTCAATATATATGTTAAATCGAGTTGATACCGATCAACTCGGATACAGATCTAGACAAGATAGATAATGCTCATCTGTCGCGAGAGATTAAACGACGAACGAATTTATATATACATATTGCACGAGAGAAATAAAACGGATATATTTTTATGTACAATTACAATTAAACGAGCTGTTTGTATCGCACGATCTTTAGTTAGGATTGCGATTTGAAAAGATATACTCTCTCTATCCATACTGAACAATTATCTACACAGATACAAAGCGTACAAGAGTGCCAGCAATGTAATTTTTTTTTGACTTGTCGATATTTGACAACCGGCACACTGTCGCATATAGGAAAACGTGAGTGAGAAACGAGAGCGTCACATTCTCAGGGATATAATATTTTGATCCTTTAAGAATTTTAATAATAATTGTTAGCGAGCAGTAGTAACACACGATCGTAAACAGAAGGTTCACACGTCACAATAATTTTGAGTTACATTAAATCATGTCGTCATCGAAATAGTCTTGTTCAACGGATCCAAGACATGTAAACGTTATATGTATAAACCTCTTATTATTCAATATATTATTTGCATATGTACAAATTGGGCGATATCGCGAAACTGAAGAAACATTTAAGTTGCATAAGTTCAATAAATTACAAGCGATAATTGAAATCGATACAATTATGTTTGAAATTCAGTTTTTGACTGTAGATTTTTAGCTACGCAAAAGCGATGCCTATTTTATCCGGAAACGGCGATGATGTAGATAGTCATTTCTCACATATCTCAATAACATTCTGAAACTGAAATTGCAAATTTTGATTTCGATCCTCGATTAGCAATCAGAGTCGAGTAGTTCTCTCCAAGAATGGCATTGAACATGTACGAATCAAACATACATGATTATCCATACAGATTATCCATACATGTGAGAGAAGAAAATTTTTTCTCACTTGCAGTTCTAAGTAGGATTTGTAAATGTTTAAGTAGAATTTGTAAGAATAGATAGCTGAAAGATATTATTCGGCTCGCATCATTCAGAAACACATACAACATGCCGAAAAACATTAATCGCAAGGAATTAATCGGTCGTTTCTCCAGATGATTTTGGCCTACGCATTTGGCTATTCACAAAGAGAGCTTCTTTTATCCGTGACGCAAAAAAAATTTAAATGGAAATACATATCGAGTGCTAAAAGTGATGTCGAGAGCTGTATTATATGTCATTATTATTGTCAAGATTACGCATTATATATATGATAATCTTAACAATAATGTTATGGTACATATGTATATTATTTGTATATAATGAGTGCCAAATATACAAACCAAAGATGTGACAACTCTATGTTTATACCAGCATATCCTTCCTCGTCTAATCGAGCATTCTTGAGAGAACGAACTGCTCGTCTACACAAAATATGATCACGTGCATCGTAGAAATGTTTTATATAATACAATTTACATAAAAAATATACAGTGGTCAAGGATTGGTGACGACGAAGAGAAGATCCGCCGCCGGATCCTCGCTAAAATACGCCGCGGAGTTAAACGTCGTCGTCCCCGTAGAATCTACTGTCGTCGTCTGTAAACAAAACATTCGGTTATATTGCACCACGCATTAATCGGAAGGATGATTAAACAAACAAATTTTATCTCATTTCTTCTCTAATGAGATCAAATTCTGGACGGCTATATATATTACAATAGATAATTTTAAATTCCCGCGTAAAGATAATATCAAATATCTTTACGATTTCGAAATCAATATAACATTATTATGTTTCTTCATATACCGTTATCTTAGTGTTAATTTATAAAAAAATTGAGTCGTTTAATCAATACATCAGTTTATTTTTTTATTTGAGTCAATCGGCTAATCTGACTGATCGTCAAGATTCTAAGATGTAAGACATTGATTCACCTCAGATGGATCCACGCAGTAGGGAGAGCCTTCCGTTGTCGAATGCTGATAGTGCGCCGCTTGCCCGTATGATTGTGTTGTGTGCTGTGTGCACTGTTGTTGCACCAACATTTGTTGTTGTTGTTGTTGCTGCTGTTGCTGTTGTTGCTGCTGCTGCTGTTTCCATTCTTCGTATTTCCTCATCGCAAGAATTAAATCTCGATTCTCATCGGTTAATTCAACATTTTGCATCATGCTCTTCAGCGACCTATTCTTTTCTTCATTTAACGATACTAGTTGAGATTGTTGCTGTCGTTCAGCCGTCGTATCTGTCAAAGAGCTCGCCGAGTAGCAAATATCAAAGATATTCTGAGCGGTGGGCTGCACCGCGACTGGACTAGAAACGCTGGGTGGCGGTTGGCTAACCAGAGTAATCACTTGTTGTGACTCTTTACCCTCGGCATTGTATACCAATGTCGGCAACGAAATCGGAATTGGAACACCGCCGGATTGCACAGAATTGAGAATGTCGACTGGTTGCGTTATTGGTTTCACATCTACGTTATTCTCAGAGCACTCGGTATCAGTCGAAAGAAGAGTAGTATTTTCTGGTTGTGGCGCTATAGATCCCGGGAACGATGGCGGTTGCTGTTGGCCGACCAAACTGATGACTTGCGGTTGTTGCGGTGATTGTTGTGGCGATAATTGCGGAGATGATAGAACCGCGATCGGCGGTTCCGGAAAGAGCTCCGTTTTTAAATTTGGCAGAAACGCATCGATTGCTCTCCATGTGGGTGCCCAGAGATTGGAATTTGGCGCCAAAACATTGGCCGACGACATAACCAGCAGCATATTTTTCAACGATTCAGGAATCGCCTCGAATAGAAGCTCGCTATTATCGGCATGCATGTATGCACGTAAAAGCTCCAGCACCGTCAACCACAACGGCAAGAAACCAGGTAGAGTCAGTAGGGGAGTAAGATGATGAAGAAATACCTTGGATAGTAACATTGCGGCTCTGACTCTTGTTTCTTCGACACCAATAGGATCGTTGGATGCGATAGGACCCAACAATTGAGCTAGTAGCGGAAACAACACCTCTTCAAGACACTGCGACCATTCTATTGCAGTCAATTGTGCCAGATCATGCGCTAGTAAAGTGCTCTGAAGATATGTGATCGCTGCCGTGCGCACTGGCCGACGAGCGTCACAGCAGAGTCGCGCGATACCTTGCAACAACGGCCTCCAAGCTTGTGGCCACAGGGATATACCATCGTCGATGCTACCCTCTTCCGCCCACCATCGGAATACTTGTGCGATTCTCGTGTGCAACGTATGCATCAGATCCAATAATTGCACCGGACTCTGCTGATAACCAGGCGATTCCTCTGTAGAATTGCATACTCTATTTCGCTTGCCCGCACATTGCAGCACTGCCTCCGCAAATGTTCTTACGCAGTTGACGCACAGATCAAAATTGAACGGTGTTACGTGCGCCATATCACGCACCAAGAAATTTAGACTCTCGCAGCACTTGACAAACGCTGCCGAGTCGTGAGGCTGCAGATCTCGCACTAATACTATTGTATCAGCGGCTACTGGAAGAGGTGCTTCAGTGCCCGTCGGTGACACTAGCACCCATTCCGGCACAGGACTAATGGGCCTAGGATCCAAGACCGACGTGCGAGCATTTGTTGTTTCATCTAGCACAGTATTGGACCGTTTCGGTGCTAATGCACCGGCACCAGCGCATTCAAGCAGACTAAACACCACCTTCCAATCCTCGGCACTATGAATATTGGCGGCGCCTGTTTTCAATAGTTCGAACAAACCGTAGGCGATCTGCCGAGCTAATGGTGCGGTTGTTGCGGATGGCAGGTGAGTCAGAGGTAATAGAGGGGACAGACATGCAAACTCTTCGCCGCGTAAAAGCCTGATAGCCAGTCTCAACATACCCACGGCTACTCTTTCGAGGAGATAAGGATGATTCTCGCGTGCTGCCATTGTTAACAAACGATCCAAATGACATTGGACGACCGGCCAGATGCACGTTACTCTGTCGCGATTCTGTATAGTTACTTCTAGCAATAACTCCAATATAAATATAGATATGTCTTCATCATTAGGATTCACCGATACTAAAGCACCAACCAGGGAATTGAGCGATTCACTCTGTAAAGTGTGTCAATAATCGTTAAAACATAATTTAAATTGTAAAAAACCTGTTACGTGTCATCAAACGTTGTTTACCTGAAAGAACTTGCTTTCTTCAATAATTTCCTTGAGATAACAATTGGCAATAAATTCCACAGCTTTCTTTCGCGCGGTCGCTTCAGCGGGATGTGGTAGACGTGATGTATCCATAGCAATATAGGAATAAAAGGTAGAAAATATTCCTTGATCACCCGGAGAAACTTTGGGTGTGGTTGGTTCTCGGAGTAGAGATATCTTGCCAGATGGATCGATAAAGTCTTCCGCCTCTGTAAGATTTTTCGGCAAGAGTCTCGCTTCATAGAGTGACTGCAGGCAATCGATAATGTTCTTCCATGATGCTCTCAAAGCATCTCCGTGTAAATGCGTGATCTTGAAAAGGGTGCGAGCGGCCAATTGTGATTTTGAACTTCCACCAAGATGTAGCACTACTTGTTCGGGTTTTGCGCCAATTATCAGACCCGTGAATTTGCAAAGGCTTACTATAAGCGTGTCCAAATCGTTGCACATGCTATAGTGAGCACTGATTGCCGCACAACTGAAAAAAAAAGTCCAATTAGTACAAGAATATATTACACATGATAGATGATTAAAAAAAGTGAGCGTAATAAACCTGAGAAACGTTTGAGCAACTTTGCGTTGCAACGATCTGTCCGGCGCTTTATCGTAAGCTCGACAAAGAGCGCTGATAATTGGACCCCATGCATGCTCGGCCAAGTCTCTGTCGATGAATTCGCCGGAATTGCCTACTTTTAGATACATGCTCTCAGGTCCAGAACCTCTTCGCAGTAAAACCTTCCACAGATAATTTTCCTTCACTAAACCGGTTTGTTCGGCCGGCATTACAATTTCCTCCCCTCTAGAAATAATAGATTAATAATGTTTATGAAATATAAGCTGTTGACAATGAAATATAAACCTGATTAATTTATATTTTTTCATAATACTTACTTAATTGAAGTATATATTTCATCGAGCATATCTTGATCAAAATCAGCATCACCATTAACTTTCTTTAAATTTCTTTTGAATGCCTCGGCATTCATGGGATTATTTTGCCTCTTTACATTATAATTATGTTGGTCTACATTTAACATAATCACCGCATAAGCTAATGTAAAAGCAGCATCGGCCGAAGCAAACGGTCTACCATTGCTGTCCTAAAGATAGCAATAGTCAGTTCTAATTTTACAGTTCAGATCTAATTTCACATTTGTATTAATTATTTCACATTTCTATTAATTATTCGAATATATATACTCACATGCCAATGCTCAGCGAATTTTTCGAGTAGAAGAGATATAAGAGGAGCTTCTCCAGGTAATCTAAATGATTCCAAATAAAGTCGTAAAGCTTGATCGATTCTTGTATTCCTCAAATCAAAATTATGCACGAAATAATTGAGAATATTCTTGTTTTCCTTCTTACTAATATATTCGCCTATCGCTTTTTTATCCAAACCCGGATTTTCTCTCAGAAGTTTTGCGACTCTTTCGGGATCCAAGTGACCAGGAGTATCACCCAAAAGACCGTGCTCCATAAGTTTTGCAATACCCTCCCGTGGATTCTCGTTAAACTTTTCTGTACCAATTACCAACCACTGGAAATATCAAAGGAAGACCTTTAGATTTACTGTAATTAATTGCATCGGAATTTGAAAAGAAAATGATTACCAACCCGTTTATTCGCTCTTATTGCGAGCAGATCTTCGTGCGTGGGAAGATTCAATGATGCTTCATGACGTGATGGCTTACATAATTCTTTGCAACCTCTACAACGAATTTCCATACCAACAATCAGCATTATTATAGCGTCCAAAGAAATCAATTGCATACTATACATATTGTTGGTAGTTATTGGTATAGAAACATTCTACAAAAGAAATTTTCAAAGATATAAAATTTTTGTACATTAATTATTACATAATAATATACAAGAGAGAAATAATGTATACCTTAGAGAACATCTTCATAAGTTCCTCGTATAAGTTTGTGGAGTAAAGTCCACAATCGTAATTTAAATACAATTCAGCTGGTAAACCAGGTATTCTCCATAATCTTACTATAGCCTCTGTAGATCACGAAAACAAAAACTCATTTATTTACATTATTAATATCACATATTATATGATGTTACAAAGTTAAGACACATACCAAGTGCTAATTCTCGTTGTTCATATAATATCCTATTAGATTCAGAATGAATAATTTCCATTAATTTAATTAAGTAATGTTCTAGTTGGAATTTTAAATGTTCTCTTTGCGATTCAAACAGTAGAAATGATACTTGAAGATTTACAGCGAGAATCGACAATCTATCTGTTCCAAGCAGCTGATACATAAATACAAGGTATTATGATATTTCTCGCATTAATTTGTTAATACATGAAATATAAGTTTAATTGTTTCATTTACCAAGATTAGATTTCTACACAAGTCGTCCTTTGCGAGCGCAAGTAAGGATGAAAAGTTAGAAAGAGCATCGGCAGCGATCTCTAATGCCACTTGTAATAAGCTGAGACCCAAGTGAGTCATAATTTCGTTGTTTTGCTTGTCAAGGGGACTACACAGGGAAATGAGAAATCTAAACAGCTCGCGTACGCACAACGCGCCGTACGGTGCGCGCTGTTGCAATGGAATAAACCGAACACCTTGACTATTCACATACTCCTCAAGTTGTTCGGGCTCTTTTGCTTTAGACATCTTATACGTGCTTTCATCTATCGACAAGTCTTCTACACTTCCGGTCGGAGATTGCGCTAAATCGATACTTTTTTCTTCGTCACCTGTACACGGTTATTCATAAAATAAAAGTTTAAAAATGATTGAGGCTTATTTTTTAAAGTAGCAAATACCTTGATTTTCTAACACAGATTGCTTAATGGAAGATTCAGACGCTTTGTCTATTGTATTTTTCTGATCGATTGCATCTTCTTTCTCTACGAGTTTAGTTTCCGTTGAAGCTACGATTTTAGTTTCTGTTGAAACTGCAGTTTTATTTTCAATATTGACATTTTCAGACGTGTCATTAACTTCAATCGTTTCTGTCTCGTTTTTACCATCTATATTGGTTACATCTTTATCATTCTCTTGCTTCTTATTCGTTTCCTGATCTACTGCTTTACTACACTTGTTAATTTTGCTATCCTTGCTAGCATCAATCTTGCTCTCACTTTTTTCATCCTCGTTTTTATCAATACTTCCATGATCTAAGGATCCTTGCATATCAACAATATTGCCAACTGGTGAAATGGGCGTAGTGGCTAAGTGATTCGCTCGGTTTCTATCAACCGAATTCAGAATAAGCGGTTCCTTCTCATCAACGTCATCCGTGATGGACTTGGACTTCTGCTTTGTATAACTTTTATGTTTTCTATTCTTGCTACGAGTATTTTCTATGCTGTTCGTTCTCATTTTCTATTAAAAATTAAAATATTATATTTTACAAATATATATACAAATATATTCTAAATCATAGTTTATGAAACTTACTTTCATATTGGGTAAGACTCTAGTATCATCAACAAACTGAGGTAATCTGGTGAACAGATGATGAACCATGTCCCTTAGGCAATGCTCCGCTGTTCTCCTAAGTATTTCTACAAAAAAAGTATTTGATTCGTGAAACTGGTGCAGACATGTGAAACTACTGCAGAAATATGAAACTACCTTCGATATTATGACTCACCACTGAGACGTGTTTCAAAGCATATCCTAAAGCAACTCAGCATAATTTCGCATACACTTTCATTGGAGAGATGATCACCTGCAGGTGAAAGCATAAGAGCTCTCAGTACCTGTAAGATTCTCATGAGGACCACTCCATCACCAGATGCATCGGTACCCACAAATCTAGCATGCGTCACAGCATCTGCTATAGTCTCTACACAGGAAGCTATGGCAGGATGATTAGCATCTAAAAAAAAATTTGTATTAGAAACAAAAAGAGATTTTAAATGCTATAACAATTGAGACTAACCAACAAGATCATAAGAAATTATTTTATTAACAGCAGACAGCGCTAGACTAGTCACTGGTCCTGTAGTTTCCTCTGATCTTATAATTTCTAGGAAGGGGGTAAGAAAAACTGCAGGTTCTAATTGAGACAGATCTCTGTGTTCGTTCAACACTTCTTTCAAGGTACTCAAGCCCTTCATTAAAGTATCCTGATCGTCATCCTAAAAATTAAATTATATCATTAAAATACATTTTCCAGATCATAATATCAAAGACATCTATCAAATTTATACAAGTGTCAAAGTATCGATCATTAAAGCGATTTTTGCAACTTATTTAATTTAATATAGGAACAAGAATAGACGTAATGCTGTGTACACATAACATTAACTTATTTTATTGATAAAAACAAACTGTTTTAATGAAGGAATTTTAATAAAGTCTTAATAAAATTTTAACAAAGTTAATAAAGAAGAGATAAAATTCGAGCTATTCTAACCTGATGAGAGTGCGACGACCATCGGGCACCTCGCCGCATTGCCGTTACCAGGAGGCATACTTCGCTCTCGACGACGTACAAGCCGCCCCGACAGGGACCCACGGATCTCGCGGTTCTACTCATTTCGCGTAATTCTTACGTCATGGCCGGACCGCGAGAAACCTTACGTCTATCACAGTCAGATAATTCGCGACATTCGCCAAATGTTCGCCAACATACATACGTCAGGCATCAGGAGAGCCACTTGCCACTTCCCACTTCCAACTTCCAACACGAAAATCATCGACCACCGTCAGTCATCGTCGACCCACGGATCTCGCAAATTAGAACTACTACGTTCGATTAGTCGATATTAATGTCGAGAATAGAATAAATTCTCTACATTTCTGAAAAAAAATTACGTAACATATGCATATATAAGTATATCGATTATAAAATTATGAAAAAGGATACAAAACAAATTTCAAAAAAATTAAGCATATAGATTCAAATAAATGTCGGCGGACAATCGTTCCGAGTTTTCTTTAATTAATCGATATAATATCTGTCTACAGCGTGGAGGCAATGCGATGCGCATGCGCTCAACACTGATTGGAGCTGACCGAAGCCGACCGAGCGTGCACAGAGAGACTGAGAGATGTCGTGGCTCGCTTTATCCCTGGAAGTGATACTCCCTCTATGAACATTAACAACAAAATATGAACTACAAAACAAATGTCCACGAAGGTTCTCAGAGGATAACATATATGTCCCTCTGATAATATAAATAATATAAATAAAAATATAAATAATTTAATTAATAATAATTTATTATATAAAAATATTAATATCTTCTCTCTTTTCCTTGCTATTATTTATATTATATATTTATATTATATATTTATATTAAATGTATAAATATTACATTTAAGTGTGAGTCCAAGAAGCAAATTTCGGATATTCACTGTAAGTCAGCCGCTCTTCGGGCGATCGGGACGAGATTTAAACGGTAGTGCCGCGAAATGGTGTAGAATTTTATGCAAAAAGAACGAAATCGCGTCTGGAAGTCGAGATATAAATTCGCTGTTTTTCGTCTGCGCGCGGACGGTCGAAATCGTGCACGACGCCGCGCATGTTGCCTGCCTATCTCGCGCGATATTCACTGTAACGCGGCGAGTAAAATGGCAAGCCGAATGTAATCGTTCGATTAATTGATTAAATACTTATATATACCGAACGAAAAGATGAATCGGAAAGCAATCGTTCGATTAATTAATTAAATATAGATACTACGATCGCGGCGAAGCGGTGGGCGGGTCGCTCTCCGAAACATGATGGTGGTTTGCGATATATCGCGATTGTTCCGTGATACATCAATCGTTAATAATTAATTAATTTAAAATAAAATATAATTCTATTTAAAATGTCGCGTGTATATATAGTACGCAAAATATTTCGGCAGAGAATTATCAATTAATATCATATGTTTGGCCTTGACGACGTATAGCAAGCGGCTATACATGTCATAGCTTTGCCATCATTCACACGGTGACACTCGAATATAGAAAAATATTTAACAACATAATAATTAAGTAAAGAGCATTAAGAGGCCACAAACCAATTCGTTTCTTATAATTTATATTATCAGGAGAATATATTTTGCGAGGAGGTCGATGATGCGTTGATGACCTCTTTACAAATCATGTTCTCCTAATAACGCAAACGTAAAAATTTTCGAAAATTCGTTTCTTATAATTTATATTATCAGGAGAATATATTTTGCGAGGAGGTCGATGATGCGTTGATGACCTCTTTACAAATCATGTTCTCCTAATTACGCAAGCGTGAAAATGTTCGAAAATTCGTTTCTTATTATTTTATATTATCAGAAGAATATATTTTGCGAGGAGGTCGATGATGCGTTGATGACCTCTTTACAAATCATGTTCTCCTAATAACGCAAGCGTGAAAATTTTCGAAAATTCGTTTCTTATTATTTTGTATTATCAGGAGAATATATTTTGCGAGAAGGTCGAAGATGCATTGATGACCTCTTTACAAATCATGTTCTCCTAATAACGCAAGCGTGAAAATTTTCGAAAATTCGTTTCTTATTATTTTATATTATCAGGAGAATATATTTTGCGAGGAGGTCGAAGATGCGTTGATGACCTCTTTACAAAACATGTTCTCCTAACAACGCAAGCGTGAAAATTTTCGAAAATTCGTTTCTTATTATTTTATATTATCAGGAGAATATACTTTGCGAGGAGGTCGATGATGCGTTGATGATCTCTTTACAAATCATGTTCTCCTAATAACGCAAGCGTGAAAATTTTCGAAAATTCGTTTCTTATTATTTTTATTATCAGGAGAATATATTTTGCGAGAAGGTCGAAGATGCGTTGATGACCTCTTTACAAATCATGTTCTCCTAATAACGCAAGCGTGAAAATTTTCGAAAATTCGTTTCTTATTATTTATATTATCAGGAGAATATATTTTGCGAGGAGGTCGAAATGCGTTGATGACCTCTTTACAATCATGTTCTCCTAATAACGCAAGCGTGAAAATTTTCGAAAATTCTTTCTTATTATTTTATATTATCAGGAGAATATATTTGCGAGAGGTCGATGATGCGTTGATGACCTCTTTACAAATCATGTTCTCCTAATAACGCAAGCGTGAAAATTTTCGAAAATTCGTTTCTTATTATTTATATTATCAGGAGAATATATTTTGCGAGAGGTCGATGATGCGTTGATGACCTCTTTACAAATCATGTTCTCCTAATAACGCAAGCGTGAAAATTTTCGAAAATTCGTTTCTTATAATTTATATTATCAGGAGAATATATTTGCGAGGAGGTCGATGATGCGTTGATGACCTCTTTACAAATCATGTTCTCCTAATAACGCAACGTGAAAATTTTCGAAAATTCGTTTCTTATAATTTATATTATCAGGAGAATATATTTTGCGAGGAGGTCGATGATGCGTTGATGACCTCTTTACAAATCATGTTCTCCTAATAACGCAAGCGTGAAAATTTTCGAAAATTCGTTTCTTATAATTTATATTATCAGGAGAATATATTTTGCGAGGAGGTCGATGATGCGTTGATGACCTCTTTACAAATCATGTTCTCCTAATAACGCAAACGTGAAAATTTTCGAAAATTCGTTTCTTATAATTTATATTATCGGAGAATATATTTTGCGAGGAGGTCGATGATGCGTTGATGACCTCTTTACAAATCATGTTCTCCTAATAACGCAAGCGTGAAAATTTTCGAAAATTCGTTTCTTATTATTTTATATTATCAGGAGAATATATTTTGCGAGGAGGTCGATGATGCGTTGATGACCTCTTTACAAATCATGTTCTCCTAATAACGCAAGCGTGAAAATTTTCGAAAATTCGTTTCTTATTATTTATATTATCAGGAAATATATTTTGCGAGGAGGTCGATGATGCGTTGATGACCTCTTTACAAATCATGTTCTCCTAATAACGCAAGCGTGAAAATTTTCGAAAATTCGTTTCTTATTATTTTATATTATCAGGAGAATATATTTTGCGAGGAGGTCGATGATGCGTTGATGACCTCTTTACAAATCATGTTCTCCTAATAACGCAAGCGTGAAAATTTTCGAAAATTCGTTCTTATTATTTTATATTATCAAAGAATATATTTTGCGAGGAGGTCGATGATGCGTTGATGACCTCTTTACAAATCATGTTCTCCTAATAACGCAAGCGTGAAAATTTTCGAAAATTCGTTTCTTATTATTTATATTATCAGGAGAATATATTTTGCGAGGAGGTCGATGATGCGTTGATGACCTCTTTACAAATCATGTTCTCCTAATAACGCAAGCGTGAAAATTTTCGAAAATTCGTTTCTTATTATTTTTATTATCAGGAGAATATATTTTGCGAGGAGGTCGAAGATGCGTTGATGACCTCTTTACAAATCATGTTCTCCTAATAACGCAAGCGTGAAAATTTTCGAAAATTCGTTTCTTATTATTTTATATTATCAGGAGAATATATTTTGCGAGGAGGTCGATGATGCGTTGATGACCTCTTTACAAATCATGTTCTCCTAATAACGCAAGCGTGAAAATTTTCGAAAATTCGTTTCTTATTATTTTATATTATCAGGAGAATATATTTTGCGAGGAGGTCGATGATGCGTTGATCGACCTCTTTACAAATCATGTTCTCCTAATAACGCAAGCGTGAAAATTTTCGAAAATTCGTTTCTTATTATTTATATTGTCAGGAGAATATATTTTGCGAGGAGGTCGATGATGCGTTGATGACCTCTTTACAAATCATGTTCTCCTAATAACGCAAGCGTGAAAATTTTCGAAAATTCGTTTCTTATTATTTTATATTATCAGGAGAATATATTTTGCGAGGAGGTCGATGATGCGTTGATGACCTCTTTACAAATCATGTTCTCCTAATAACGCAAGCGTGAAAATTTTCGAAAATTCGTTTCTTATTATTTTTATTATCAGGAGAATATATTTTGCGAGGAGGTCGAAGATGCGTTGATGACCTCTTTACAAATCATGTTCTCCTAATAACGCAAGCGTGAAAATTTTCGAAAATTCGTTTCTTATTATTTTATATTATCAGGAGAATATATTTTGCGAGGAGGTCGATGATGCGTTGATGACCTCTTTACAAATCATGTTCTCCTAATAACGCAAAGCGGAAAATTTTCGAAAATTCGTTTCTATTATTTTATATTATCAGGAGAATATATTTTGCGAGGAGGTCGATGATGCGTTGATGACCTCTTTACAAATCATGTTCTCCTAATAACGCAAGCGTGAAAATTTTCGAAAATTCGTTCTTATTATTTATATTATCAGGAGAATATATTTTGCGAGGAGGTCGATGATGCGTTGATGACCTCTTTACAAATCATGTTCTCCTAATAACGCAAGCGTGAAAATTTTCGAAAATTCGTTTCTTATTATCTTATATTATCAGGAGAATATATTTTGCGAGGAGGTCGATGATGCGTTGATGACCTCTTTACAAATCATGTTCTCCTAATAACGCAAGCGTGAAAATTTTCGAAAATTCGTTTCTTATTATTTATATTATCAGGAGAATATATTTTGCGAGGAGGTCGATGATGCGTTGATGACCTCTTTACAAATCATGTTCTCCTAATAACGCAAGCGTGAAAATTTTCGAAAATTCGTTTCTTATTATTTTATATTATCAGGAGAATATATTTTGCGAGGAGGTCGAGATGCGTTGATGACCTCTTTACAAATCATGTTCTCCTAATAACGCAAACATGAAAATTTTCGAAAATTCGTTTCTTATTAT